CTGTTTATCAGATACAGCTGCAATAAAGAATCTGCCTGGAGAGCTGGGTCTGAGCTTGACTGTGCTGGCTCTTAACTAAACAGGTAAGATTTACACGCATAAAAGGACAGAAAGTAGAAAAAATTGCTTGCAATACCAGGTTAGTGGCAGAACTGACAATAGTAGAGAACATCTTAATATATTTGAAATGAGGGTTGGATTAAATATAAAGTATTTTTGTAAGAGATATAAAAGTCCATACCAGTTTAAAATATGAGACTTATTATTGTGTTGTAGTCTGAAATGAGATACAATGAACAGACAATTATAACATTAAGCATATGAGTATTTAAATTACATGTATGAACACACACAGAGTGAAGAGGAATTGGAAGAATTGGATGCTCTTGGTGGGCCCTACCAAAGGCATGCCACTGCACAAAGCACACATGTAACAGAGTCAGCAAAGGAATTTAGAGTCAAAAACATAAGTAAACTGGGGAACCAGGCAGGGTATCCCTCAGTATGGCAGAACTTGGTCTCCTGACCTGGCTTTCAGCCAAGATGGCAGTAAAGTCACCTGACCTCAGTTAAGATGAAGGTAAGGTCACCTGACCTCAGTCAAAATGTCAGAGGTCACATGTTGTTTGGAAAAGTCATAATTTTTTTATATGTAGGGATTTTAAATTTAATAATAAGAGAGATCAAGAGGCATGATTCGCCCTGTGGCTGAGCCGCCATGTCACAAGCTGCAGTGGGGAGCAAAAGGCTGGAATTATAAACAGCCGCCTTATGGATCTGACCAATCTTTTTGGCAGAAGTAGCAGCGGCAGGGACAATTTGAGGAAACTCCTTCCATTTGCCTGTGCGCTGACAGTAGTTAGAAAGCTCCCCTAAAAGTGGAGCCAGCGGGACACCGGAGGAGCAAGGGTAGGAGCTAAAGAAGTAGGGAATAAGTTCTGGGGTTTTAGGGCCTCTAAAAGGCATCCATCCCAGAGGGGGACAGACATGGATGAAACAGCTGAAACTGTGAAAACCCGTGAAACAGTAGCACCACAAGACTTATAACGGGATGTCTCCCCCTATAGGCAGGGTGTAAATCAGTGTGAACATCGCAGGAGCCATGGGAGAGTGCACTCCATATGTGGGTGGGATGCTACAGCCCGACTGGTTTCTGACAGGGTGAATCAGAAGTTAGAGAGGCCTTATTTAGCAAGGGAAAAAAAAAGAAAAGGACAAAAGAAGAATCTGAGGGACCCTGGGCCTCCAGTCGCAGGTGGATCAGCACTGGGTCGTCCAAACACAATCTTAACTAAGGGAAGCAATGCAGAGATGAATGTCAGTGCAGGGCTCAACTCTCCGTGTTTGGGGGTTGCTTTCCCCATTTCTAGGAACACCAGAAGATTGCCGGGAGCTGACCAGTCAATTCCTCAGGTTTGGAGAAACTGTTAAGCTGACCAGAATTGGAGAATCCCACAAATTGAAGCCAGTGGTGTGCATAGAAATCATGCTGGAGAAATCGCACTCAGGCATATGGAACTCGTGGTTGTTGTGGAAAAAAATATCTCAGGAGAGGGACTTGGGGAGGAAGAGCCTTCTGAGTCATGGCACCAATGAAATGGTAAAAATAAAATTGCAGCAGGATCTGTGGCAGCAGCAGCAGCAGAAATTCTACAGGTCTCTGAGCAGTGGCAGCAGGCAGCAGGTCCCAAAAGCAGACAGTCCTAGGCATGGAATGGCACAGGTCCCCGAGCAGCGGCAGTGGGCCATGTGACAGCAGGCAGTGAACAGTGGGTCCTTGGAGCAGCCAGTCCCAGGTAGGGACAGCACAGTTCCCTGAGTAGCTGCAGCAGGCTACAAGGAGAGACAGACAGAGGGCATACTACAAGACTATGGTGCAGATCTCCAGAGGGCATACTACGAGACCATGGTGCAGGTCTCCGCAGGCAGCTGGTCCCAGGGAGGGAACCACATGATGGACAAGAGACAGACAGATAGGCACGCCATGCAGAGTGAGGTTGGATATTTATTTAGTGGGTTATGGAAGGGAAGGAGGAAAGGAGAAGAGCAGAGAGGGGAACAGAGAGAGAGAGAAAGAGAGAGAGAGGAGAGAGAGAGAGAGAGAGAGAGAGAGAGAGAGAGAGAGAGAGAGAGAAACAGAAGAGGGAAGGGGAGAAATGGGGAGAGGCAGAAGCTGCTTTTTTGAAAGGGAGATGGAAAAGGAAGGAACTCTGGCTGGAAGCTGAATATCCTCTTGCCTTCCTGTCCTCTCTTCCTCCTCAGCTTCCCTCCTTATTGCCTTCCTTCTTTTCCCCCTTCTTTTTCTCAGGTTCTTCTGTGGGACTGTTCTGAAGTTAAGCGTAAAACCTGGATTTTCTCATCCTGATATCAGCAGGAGTTTGTTTTCTCCCCACTTGCCCAGGTGCCAGCAGACCCCAAGCAGTTAGGCTTCCTGTGGACGTGCCCCAAAGTGCCCCAATGCATGTAACATCTGATAAGCTCATGTGCCTCCAAGGCTACTGGTTGCTGTTTATCTGACCACTGAAACAGCCCAGGCTGTACTTTCTATGACCTTATAAGGTTCCTTCCTCTGGTCTCTGCTGCCTCTGAGTACACAAATGAAGCACCCTCGATGTTATTGCCCCAAACCGATGACGTTCCACCACATGGACCCAAGGAGCCATTCTTCCTAGAGTAAAAATGTCCCTTGTCCCCTCTGGATAAGCAAGCTGTCCACTGACACAGTCTCCAGGGTGTCATTCCCCCCATACACATTGTACAAATGGCCTATCAGGATCTACCTTTGGTCCTGCCCATGCTCTGTCTGTTCCCTTCCCAACCATGCCTGGACAAAGCTGGGGTTTGAACCCAGAACTCTTCCTCTTTCCCATCCCCCTCTTCCTCACCCCTCTCCTCCCTTCTTTCTCCCTTCTTCTCCAACTCCTTCTTCCAACCTTTTTATCACTCCTCTTCTTCCTCTTCATTCTCTTTCTAGTGCTTTCCTTCTCTCTGCCTTGCCCCTTTCCCTCAACTTCTTCCTCTTCCTATTGTTTCCTCCCCACTCTCTCTCTCCATCCTCCTTCCCCTACTTCTTCTCCTTTTATCTTCTCCCTGTTTCCTTTGCTACCACATCTTCTCTATTCTTCTCTTTTCCTTTATCCACCACTACTTCTCTTCCTCCTCCTCTCCTACTGCCCCTCCTTCTTCCATTCTTCCCTCATGTTAGCTTCCTCTTCCACTTTCTCCTCCTCCCCTTTCTTACTCCATTTTTCTACTCCTCCCTTCCTCCTTTCCTTCTCCTTCCCACCTTGTCTCTTCTCATGTTCCACCTTCTGTTATTTCTGTCTCCACCACTCCTTCCTTACTCCTTTCTTCTTCTTCCCTTACTTTTCTTCCTCACCCCTTTCTCTATCCTTCTTTCCCTCTTTCTCTTCCTTCTCCCCTCACCCCCTCTTATTTTCTTCCTCCTCTTCTTCTCCCCTCCTCTCCTTTCCTTTTCCTCCTTCTCTTCCCTCTCCTCTTCCTCCCTTTCTCCATCCTTCTTTTTCCCTCACCTCTTCTTCCTCTCTTCTTCTCCTCCCTCCTCTTCTTTTCTTCTTCTTTTTCTTCCCTCCACTCTCCTCCTCCTCCCTCACCTTCTCTTCTATCTCTGCCCCCTCCTCTCTCTACTCTCCCTCCTCTCCTTCTCCACCCTCCATTCCCTATCTTCCTCCTTTCCCTTTCTCTTCATTCTCTTCCCTCTGTTCTTCCTTACCTACCCCTCCTCTCCTTTTCCTCCTCCATATCCTTCTCTACATCCTCCTGACTCGCCCTCTCCTGTTATGATAATTTCACCTAAGGCCCAAGGGTGTAGCTTAGAGAGAACTCTCCCTCTACTGTTATGGTAATTCCACCTGCAAGCAAGGTTCTCGCTGCAGGCAAGGTTCCTGGGTCAGAGAAAGAAAGGTTCCTCTTTTCTCTATTCAGCTGCTCTCCGACCTTGGGTGCGGCCCCCTGATTTTTCTCTTTCCTTGTTCCTGATGGGGGGATGGTGTCTTTCTGCCCCACAGTATATATACCCGACTTATGTTTAATAAAGCTGCCATTTGCCACTTGCTCCTTGGTAGATGAGCCCGGTCTCTTGTGTGTGTGTGTGTGTGTGTGTGTGTGTTTCAACCCTTTAGGATATTAATCCATTCTCGTGGGTTCGAGTCAGGAAAGCGCGCGCCTGTTTCGAGGTTCGGGTGTTCACAGAAAAGTGCGGAGGCAACACTCCTGCTCCTCTCCTCCTCTTTCTCCTCTTTTCCTCCCTTTCCTTTTCTTCATTACACTTCTCTGTCTCTTCCCACTCTTTTCTTCTTCCTCCATTTTCTTCTCGCCCATCGACCTTTCCTCCTTCTGCTCCCCATCTTGTCTTCCTCATCCTCCCCCGCTCCCTCCCCATCCTCCTCCTCCTCTATCTTTTCACCTTTTCTTTATTCCCTTTCTCTTCTTTCCACCTATTTCTCTCATCCACTCACTCCCTCTCCCTCTTCACCTTCCCCTCTCTAACCTTCCTTTCACTTTATACCCATCCTTCCTTTTCCTTCTCCTCAGTCTTTCCTCTTTTTCTTCCCCTTTCTTTCACTTTTGAGACCAAGGAGTAAACCCAGGGCCTCCTTAGCTATATCTCCAATCCTTATACATTTATAAACAATTTTATATTTTAAATTATGTGTATGCATATGTTTGGAGCATATCCATTATATTGAACCTTTAGCACTAGGAATGAGTGCGTGTTATTGTGTAATATGAACACCTAGTAGAAACTCATATTGTAGCACCAACCATATAGAAGCACCAACATTCAAGCAATATTGTCAAATAAGCAAGCAAATTATTTTAGTGAACATTTATTTATTAAAATACTGATAAAAGATTTAATATTTTTATTTCTGTTCACAACAATAAGCAGACTGAAATATTAAGCCATGTTATACTTTGACAATTTTCAAGAACAACTATAATAAAAACAGCAAACAGAAATATTTACTGATCCAGATCATAACAGGGAGTGGTCAGCTGACCCTCACAGGGCTTGGCAACAATACTCAGCAGAAGCCACTTTGTAATTGTCGGCACTAAATAGAGAAGTGGAATTCTCAGCTAGGTATTTAAGGAAATCATGCATATACGTAGACACTCGCATAAGACTATGTCTACTAAGGAGGGAGTGGGTCAATACAGTCTCAATTTGAGTAAATAATCGTAGGAGGTGTGGAGCCCCATAAATCTGAGACATTGGAAAATGAGGATAAGCCAGGTGAATTTGGGCCAACTGGGGCTTTTCAAACTGACAGAGCAGCTGGGCACCCAGCATCCTGTTGAAGTATTCTCTTATTCCATATACAAGTTCATCAACAGAATATTCCCTATTATCAGCCTTTCCATGTGATTTCACAAAAGTGACATACTCCGCGAGAATAGTGTCTACATTCTTCTCAGCAGGGAGTTGGAATAACTGCTTATGCTTGTTTATCAGTTCCCAGTCCTCAACAAGACATGGCTTAAGTTCATCAGGCAACTTCAATTCAACTCTCATTCTCACCTTCCCTGCCTGCACAGATTGACCAGAGGTGATACTCCCAGCCACATTCTGGTGAGGAATCTGTGGTACTGTGCTGGTACCACTGCCAACTCTGTTTTCTTGAATATTCTGCATGGTCTTTGGCACTGGCATGGTAGGTGCAGATCCTGAAGTAGAGGGTTTCTCCATAGGAAAGCTTTTTTCCATGGAGTGATGACCTTTCGCCACAGGGTACTGACTCTCTACTCTGTTACCTTTCTCAGCAGTGTAGCTGCTTTGGGAAGACTGACCTCTCTCCTCAGTATGATCTTTCTCAAAACAGATGAATTTCTTTTCCATCTGACCTTTCTCAGCAGAGAGTTCTCTTTCTGCAGGGCATCTTTTCTCAACAAAGTGACCTCTCTCTTCTGTGTGTACTTTCTCTGCACAGCAGACTCTCTGGGAAGATAGACTTTTCTCTGCAGGAGGACTTATTTCAGGAGGGCAGCTTGCCATGGCAGATAGATGTTTCTCTGCATGTTGGCTTTTCTTTGGAGGCCTAGGTCTCCCTGTGGGGTCATCCTTCCCTGCAGAGGGTTCTCTCTGCACAAAGTTACCCCTTTTCAGTGAGCGACCCTCCTCTTCAGGGCAGGTTTTCTTTGAAGGCTGACGTCTCCCTGTGGAGCCATCCTTACCTGCAGAGCATCCTCTCCCTGCCGAGTTACCCCTCTCAACTGCGGGACTCTCCTCTGCACGGCAGATTATTTTTGGAGCCTGACCTCTTCCTGTGGGGCAATCTTTTGCTGTAAAGGATCCTCTCTCTGCATAGTTGGCCCTTTCATCTGAATGACCCTCTTTTCCGGGAGAGGGTCCTCTCTTTGCGGGCATTCTGCTCTTGGATGAACGATCCTCTTTGGCCCAGTAGGTTTTGATAGAGTGACCACGCCCTGCATGGCGATCTTCACCTGCAAAAGGTCTTCCTGCTGTCGAGCTACCCCTTTCATCTGAGCGACCCTCCTCTGCAGGGCAGCTTTTCTTCTGAGGCTGACCTCTCCCTGCAGGGCGATCTTCACCTACAAAGGGTCCTCTTGCTGCCGAGTTAGCCCTGTCAACCGACAGACCCTCCTCTGCAGGGCGGCTTTTCTTCTGAGGCTGACCTCTCCCTGTGGGGCAATCTTTTCCAGGAGAGGGTCCTCTCTTTGCAGGCTTATCCTTCTTAGATGAATGACTCTCCTCTGCAGGGCAGCTTTTGATGAGGTGACCTCTTCCTGCAGGGCGATTTTCACGTGCAGAGGGTCCTCTCTCCTCAGAGCTACACCACTCAAATGAGTAACCCTCTTCTTCAGGGTACCTTTTTCTGAGGCGAAGTCTCCCCATATGGCGATCTTTCCTAGGAGATGGTCCTCTCTTTACAGAGTTACCCTTCTCAGATGAAGGACATTCCTTTACAGGGAGGCTTTTGATGGAGTGACCACTACCTGCAAGGCAATCTTCACGTGCAGAGGGTCCTCTCTCCTCAGAGTTTCCCCACTCAAATGAGTTACCCTCCTCTGCATGATAACTTTTTCTGAGGCGATGCTTCCTTGTTCGGTGATCTTTCCCAGGAGAAAGTCCTCTATTTGCAGAGTTACCCTTCTCAGACAAATGACTTTCATCAACAGGGTGGCTATTAATAGGGTGATCACTCCCTGCAGGGCGATCTTCACCTACAAAGGGTCCTCTTGCTGCCAACTTAGCCCTGCCCGCTGACAGACCCTCCTCTGCAGGGTGGCTTTTCTTCAGAGGCTTACCTCTCCCTGTGGGGCAATCTTTTCCAGGAGAGGGTCCTCTCCTTGCAGAGTTATCCTTCTTAGATGAATAACTCTCATCTGCAGGGCAGCTTTTTATGAGACGACCTCTCCCTGAAGGGTGATCTTCACCTGCAGAAGGTCCTCTTGCAGCCACCTTACCCCACTTGAATGAATAACCCTCCTCTGCAGGATAGCTTTTTCTGAGGCGACACCTCCTTGTGTGGCAATCTGTCCCAGGAAAGGGTCCTCTATTTGCAGAGTTACCCTTCTGAGATAAATAGCCCTCCTCTGAAGGGCTGGTTTTGATGGGATGGCCTCTCTCAGCAGGACACTCTTCACCTGCAGAGCGTCCTCTCACTATGGAGTTAACGCATTCCACTGAGCGACTCTCAGAAAGGTGGCATTTCATGCATGGACCTCTCTCAGCAGAGCGATTTTCACGTGCAGAGGGTCTTCTCTCCTCAGAGCTACCCCACTCAAATGAGTAACCCTCTTCTTCAGGGTACCTTTTTCTGAGGCGAAGTCTCCCTGTGCGGCGATCTTTTCCAGGAGAGGGTCCTCTCTTTGCAGAGTTACCTTTTTTGGATAAATGACCCTCCTCTGCAGGGCAGCTTTTGAAGAGGCGATCTCTCACTGCAGTGCTAGTCTTCTCTGGTGAGCGACCCTTCGCTGCCAGGTGACTTTTTTCAGCTGGCCAAACTCTCCCTATGGGGAGACCTTTCTTCTCTTTGGAGAGTCCTCTCTTCACAGAATGTCCTCCCTCTATCTGGTGATCGCTCTCTGCAGAAATAAATTTCTTGACTGAGGGGTCTTTCTCTTCAGGGTGATGGTTCTCAATAGAGTGACCTCTCCTATCAAAATAACCTTTCTCAGTAGATACACTCTTCTTAGTAGAAAGTCCTTTCTTTGCAGGTTGACCTCTCATGATAGGGCGGCCTCTCTCGGCCAAACCACATTCCTCTGCAGAGTGATGTTTTTCTTTAAGATGGCTTTTCTGGATAAGGCAGCCTCTCTGTGTAGGAAGATCTTTCTCAAGAGAGAGATGCTTCTCAGATGAATAACTTTTCTCAGAAAAGTGACGCTTTTTCCCAAGGAGGTGCCTGTCAGAGGGGTACTTTCCGGCAGAGGAAAATTTTCCTATAGTAAGATGTCTTTCAAGAGAATGGTGTTTCCTGGCATAGGAACTCTTCGCTGCAGCACGATGTTTCTCAGCTAACAAAAGCTTCTCAGCCAAGGTGCTCTTAACTGTAGTGCAGTGCTTCTCAGCAGTGGGACTTTTATCTGCAACGTGATACTTCTCGGGGGAGAGATTTTTCTCTCTTCTTCGGGTTTTCTCATGGGAGCGACCTCTTTCCACCGAGCGACTTTTTGTGGCAGGGCCACCCTGTGGTCTTCCTGAAAGAAGTAGTTGACAATTCCTCAGCTTGGCTGACTTTTGTTCTGAGGAGCGATTTCTCACCTTTTTGACCTCCCTGTTGCTTGGTGTCTGCTTCCCGAAGTCATCTCCTTCCCCAAAATGTTGGTCATGAGCATGAGGTCCTTTCTTTCTGGAACTCATTTAAGTAATACTAACGAATTCCCAAGTTTTCTAGTATTATCTGGGAAAATGGACTGGGCACACAACCCAGAAGTCTCTTGTCTGAAGTAGTTCTACAACCAGGATCAAATCTCCTGATGATTTACCAAATTTAGCTCTTTTTAAAGGACAGTAGAGGAGCAGCACTCTACTTGTCTAACCGCCACACAAACTGAGGTTTCTCTGGAAACTATCTGTACACAAACTTCATCTTGGGGGCGGGCTTATGCCCTTCGGCCAATCGGTAGTCATATGTAAATTATTCTACATTCCATAGTCAAATGATTGGACCACCGCTCTGATGTCATAGTGGTGGCATGTGGGGCGGGGGAGGGGTCGTTTTTTAAAGACCAGGTTGTCCTTAAGCACACAAAGATCCCCAAGCTAATGCCTCTCCAGTAACTGGCATTAAAGGCCTGCATGCCCTACTTATCTTTCTTGAATAATGTGACTTCCTTCCTCTTACTCTTTCTATGCCTAAATCACTTGGTCCTTACTCTTCAATCCTGAGTGCAAGGGTGTGGAGAAGCTCTAAACTTAAGGGCCCTGCAGCCCAGCGGGAGAAAAAGAAAACGGTGTCATCTCCAGCCTATCGTCACTGAGGAAGAATAGGTCTCTTTCCATTCTCCCTTTTTACATTGCCTCCAGATTTGGAACACTTCTGAAAATGGCAATGAGTTCATTTCCATTCACCCTGAGGATGTAAGGATGATAAATTAATCTATTAAACTGTGTATCTCAAAAAACCAACAGATAGACTGAAAGTTTAAAAAAAACTGGGAAAAGATACAAGATATAATTTGCAAGCCTAACAAGGATGAGAACAGAGAATAATGCAGAGCTCAATAAATATCAATAAAAAAAAGTACTGATACCATGCAATATTGACTAGAGTTTGGGAAACTTACTACACATTATTGGTGGGAATTTAAATACATATTATCATTCTGTTGGATAATTTAGAACCATTATATCTAATTTTAAAATGCAAATATACTTTGATACAGTAATGTGACTTACAAAAATGCTTGCACATCTTTACGAGAATGTTTATAGTTTATAAGACTATAAATAACCTGATGGTCCATCTGTAGTAGAAAAATTATACAGATTATTATTGCTATTCTTTTGCGGTCACTTTAAGGACTAACCACGCCCACCCCAGCCACTTTTGACCTCCCCGTCACCATCTTTCTCTCTCTTGTGTGTTTGTCTCGTGTCGTGTGTACGTGTGTCTTTGTTCTCTCTACGTTTTTCTTATGTCTCTGTTTTCCTCTTCTTTAAGCAATAAAGGTCTCCTATTCTTTAAATAATACTATGTCCTGTGAGTCTTTTATCCGCCATAACTGCCCGCCTGACTCCCCCGGCCGCATGGCGCTGCCACCCTGGAGATCTTGCAGGGACCCACAGCCATTCTTGTCAGACTAGAAGCTGCTCCGCAAGCCACCCGGGGCATCCCATCATCATATTATTTTTAAAGAACAATAATTATCTTTTGGCTGTGAATTATTACTATGTCACTGAAAATAAAATGTACATCCATACAGAAAAAAATTGCAGGCCTAAGAAAGCTAGAGTGGCAATATAAGCATCTGACAAAATACACTTTAAAAGAAAAACATTACAGGCTAAAGAATGCTTTCTAATGATGAAAGGGTTAATTGTAATAGGAAGCTATTACAATTGCTTAAGAACAGAAAAAAAATACATGAAGCAAAACGTCACAGAGCTATAATAGACAATTCTGAATACTAATTGGAGATTTCAGTAACTACTTTCAGTAGTGGTTAAGACACTAGGGAGTAGTTAACTGTGAGATAAAAGACTTGAACAACACTAAGAAGCAAATAGTCCTAGAAATACATCAACACTACAATCCACCCAAGAGTTCCAGAACAGACATTCTTCTCAGGTGAATGTAGAACATTCTCCATGTTAGATCATACACTGGCAAAAAGGAAAAGAAAAGAAAAGTGTAGAATTAAGCACACACTTTAACCACAATGGACTGAAGTTAGAAATCGATAGCAAGGAAATTTATGAAATTAAAACTAAATTGTATAACAATGTGTAAAAGAAGAATTTCAAAAGGGAAATTAGAATATATATTGAAAATACCACAAATGGTGGTGAAGGCCTACAATTCCAGTCACTTGAACTGCTGAGGCAGGAGAATTGAAAGTTCAACTACAGAGAAAATATGTTGGAAATAACAAATGCAAATGAAAACAAAATATATGAATATTTATAAGACATTACTAAATTAGTGGTTAGGGAAAA